TCGTAGGAGTATTCATTTCTTATTAACATTGACCAGCAGCCTTTTCTGTTTTTTTGGTTTTTGGGTGTTTTTTTGCACATGTTATTGTGGATGAGCTGATGGACAGGAGACAACATCAGCACTTTCAGATTAATGTATCTGAGAAATTACCTAGCTGAACAAGTCTGAAAAGTTTTAACTAGTTGTTTTGCTAACACTCCACATTCATTTTTCAATTCCACTCCTTTAGAACAGATTTGTTTTGAGTTGACGGTCTTATGGTCGTATGTTAAAGCCACAAAAATACACACTTGCATTGTTTTTTCTTTGACTATAAAATCAGTCTGTCAGTGATTCTTCGGTGGTACACTGGAGAGTAGCGAGGTAGCAAAGATTGAGGGTTATGTGGATGGTAGGAATTAAAAAAGAAAAGCTTAAAGCAGTTAATATAAAAGTTAATTACTGTTTGAGACGCTGAAACTGAAGTCTGTGCTAAGCTGTTTGAACAGCACTGTTTAGAGGTACTTTGAAGTAATCTGTAAAATTATCAATGACTTGGTAATGATGAAGAAAATTCTTTTCCCACACTAATGAATGTGTGTTTTTTAATATACACTTGGTATGCACATGCGAAAGTGTATTCAATGTGCATGCTCACATTTATACTGACACTCTCTATCACCGCTACCAACATGCCAATCATATCTCAGCCCATGATCCCTGGCAGGAAGCGGAGGAGGAAGAGGAGGCTGATGATCATGGCAATAACCAATTCCCTGCAAAGAGGAGGTACAAACAATTTGAGAAAAATCTCTTTGCAATACAAACAGAGCTGACAAGAAAAGGATGAAAAAGGAGAGTTTATTACTTACAAGAGAATCCAGTACCAGGAATGTGTGAAATCCTCAAAGGTTTTCATCACCACCTGACAAGCTCCCATTACCACAGTGACATTCCTGTGGAGAAAGCCACGTGTGTTTATCTGCTTGAGGAATTTCTCATCACACGTTATTTGTAGTGGCAGGTTGACACAGACCAAGACAAAGTAATGTAGTTGAAAACTAGCTGTGTAACCAAAGTCCACTGATGTATACTCACTGTACACCAGCAACAAGGTCTTGGGTGTTTCTAATTTCCTTTCCATCATTAAATGTGGAGCTGTTTCCCACAGTTATCACCCCTCCTCTCATGCCCAAAGCTGGGAGGCACCTGCAGGTGACTGAAAGAAAAATAGAGAAACATGTAATTGCCAAAAATACAAAAACAAACAAATGAAATGTGTTTCCCTACATGTGTAAAGAATGTCATTTGAAAACTATTTAAAATAAACCTATTATCATTTTCCTCACATTCTTTAATACATTTACTGTTGCAAAGGTGGATGTTCAGATTATTCTCAGCTAAAGCTTCAAGTAATCCCAATGAGTCAAAGCTTCAGGCTGTAAACAAAAATGTTCTGTTTCCAACAGATTTTTTTTTTTTTTAGCTTAGTCACTTTTTGTTACAGTAACTGGAGGGACTCAAACGCACGACAGGTTTATTCACGAGCACCAGGTGAAATGTGCAACAGTGGCAAAGTGCTATATACAAGGGTGTGGGGATCAGGGCTCCAGAGAATCCACAGGGAAAAGCAGGGGAACAGTCTCACTCCTCTTCACTCTCTCTTGGTGTCTCACCAGTCTTTCACTCCTCTCTCGCACCAGAGTCTCTGTAGGTAACAAAGGTAGGTCTAGGGTATGTGTACACAGGGAAACAATGTGTTAACACAAGAAGCAAAACTACGGGAACTACACTGTACTTAAAGGTTTTGTATAGCTGCTCCTCTGTTGTCTGTTATTGTTTGATCAAGCACAGGAATAAACAGCAGAATCTTCTGCTGTCAGACACTTGATCTCAAGCTACTGTCTGCTGCTAGAGTCTTCTTCAGTCATGATGAAATGACATTGAATTGCCATAGGTAGCAGAGTTTAAACCTGTGTTCATCTACCCAGCCGAAGGCTCCTCCTGGTCTCTCTGGTGTCCAGTGAATAATGTAGTCTGTCAGAATATAACCAGATACAACACATGATATTTTCACTCTCTCTGCTGGTCATTTCAGAACAGAGGGAGACTGCCCCAGTTTAATCTCACTCTAAACTCCCCAAAAAGGACAAAAGGATAAAGTAGTGATTGTCACTCACCACGTTTGTCTCCAGTATTTTAAAGAATAGATCATTTTTATGCCATGGAAACAAACAATAAATAATAAACTTGAAAAAATAATATGTGCCATATTTTACAGCAGTTTAAATCAAAATATTTGCGTAATTCAAAACAGTTTCCAAGATGCAATGCAAATATTGGTGATGATGTGTTTATAAAGGTGCAAAAGATTGCATTGAGCTCTCTCTACAGGAACAGGATTTTGTATTTAAAACACAGTCTCTAAGTAATTTAGCATATGCTATGATGGAAAATTTGTGCTCTTCAGTGAAGATAATTACACCCTAATTTTTTTGTAAGAATAGAGTTTGGAATTTTTTAAATTTTTGTTTTACTTTATTTGCAGTGAAGGAATAATTACAACTGAATGGATCATTATATATGAGTGGATGTAATAAGTTGTGTAGGATTTTGTACAGCTGCTTAGCCACTTCTGTCACCGTGGGTCTCGAGCACAATAATAAACAGCAGAATCTTCAGTCTTCAGGCTGTTCATCTGCAGATACAGCTGCTGTCTGTTGTTGTCTCTGGAGACAGTAAACCTGCCTCGGACTGACTGTGAATAGTAATTAGTGCTACTGCTAGTATCAGCAGCAATCCACTCCAGGCCTTTTCCAGGAGCCTGTCTGATCCAGTGAATCCAGTAGCTGCTGAGTGTGAATCCAGACGTGGTACAGGTCAATCTGTGAGACTGACCAGGTTGTTTAACTGCTGGTTCAGATTCTGTCAGAGTCTGACCATTAACACCTGCCCCAGTAAAGAGAAAATTAATAACAAATGCACAACTTAAAAAGGATGGCCCAAAATATAATTTTAGATTATCATCAGCAAAGCTTTTCACCTGCCAAGCAGAGAGTTATAAGCAGCAGTCCTGTCCTACAGTCCATCATGTCAGGCTGTGAGTCCACTGTTCTCTGTCCTCATCTCTGCAGTCAGACATAAAGAGATAGAAGCTGTCAGTGCTTTGCATTGACTCCGCCTCCACCTCTTTTCTCTAATCTCACTGACAATGTGATCTCGGTTAGGGAAAGGTGGGCCTGAAAATCGATAAGGATGAGCTGTGTGCTAAGAATCACAACAACCTCACATTACTCTCCTTGACAGTCTGGTTGTGCCCACCATGTTAAAGCTACTAATCACAGTAGATGGAGCACAAAATGATTTTTTACTTTCTTACAACATGTTTGTTTTATGCGAGTCATATAAATGAGAACAGCTGGTTATCACTCAAGAAAGAACATTTACTGCCAGATTTACTGAAGCACAAAGCCTTCTTTAACACTAAAAAGCTTCTGGATGTACTAAAGAGATATGGTGCCAATTTTGTGACTACTACTACTGCTCGTCCAACACATTTCATTGCAATGCTGACACTGTGCTAACGTACATATAACAACTAAAGCTGAAGTAACAACAACGACTTCATTTTCAGCTTGCTTGCCTTTCCCTAACTGCTATGAATAGTTAATATTTTATCCTCATTTTATAATAAAATAATAAATATGGATAAATAAAAACTCTTTTTCATCTGCAGAGGAAAGACAGAAGTTATAAGATCACATTGTTACTTGATATTAGTACATGCTGAGGTTTTCGTGCAGCAGTTTGTGTTCAGTGTTGGACACAGAAGTAAACAACAGGTGTACTGTCTGCTGGAGTCTTCTTCAGTCGTGATTACACAACTTTGAAAAGAACTGCCATAGGCAGCAGAGTTTCTTCCTGTGTTAATCCACCCAATCCACTCCAGAGCTCCCCCTGGTCTCTGTCGTATCCAGCCAGTATTGTAACCTGTCAGTCTATAACCAGATAGGATACATGACATCTTCACTCTCTCTCCAGGTCTTTTCACCTCAGAGGGATCCTGCTCCAGTTTGATCTCACTCCAAACTCCTGTAAAAAAGAAAGGAGATAAAAAAATATATATATAGTCGTCTTCTGTGTTTTAAAGTATAACCAATTTTCTTACCATGGAAACAATGAATAAAGAGTAACTCCTTGAACTTGCTGATATAGTTATCGGTTATAGTCTAATTTTACTCTAATATCTAATAATCTGTAGTGTTTTATATACAGTTCTAAAACAACTGTATTTAAAATAAGTAATTTTCTATCTCTGTATAAAGTTAACTTTATCTTCAACTTCACACAATTTTTTTAAGCATTAAGAGTATATCACTCTAAACTGAACACATCACTTGATTCAGGATTTGTTGGTCTCCAAACTGTTTTAAGGGTCAGCTATGGCTCAGATAGTGGCTGAAGTTTAAAAGTTGAAAAACTAATTCAACTAGTTTAATTTGATAATAACACTACAGCTATTAAGATCTAAGTTATTTATTTTAAATTGGAACTTGTGTGATGCCAGAGAAATTCTTAATTTCACATTTTTATGGGCCTCCTCTCCCTAAATCCTTCACTGAACTGGGGACATCTGTTGCTACTCAGACTGTTTCATCAGGTGTCGAGGAGGTAATGTAACAAACATATGTGCAGACTGTCAGTAGAGATTCATTTATATGTGGTGTAAAGTTGTTCTGTTATATTGCAGGTGGGGAGCCAAACTATAATCTCAGAGTCAGGAGAAATACCAGCTTTCCTCCAGAATCAGCAGTAAATTTTCCTGTGTACCCCTTAGTGAAGATAATTGTAGAGTGTCACAGCTTAAACTTCTTATAAGATAGAAAATGGTGTGTGATTTTTTTTTTTTAATGTATGTTATTCTTTATTGGGTGTGAATAAGTTCTCTAAATGGTAAAGCATTAGGTGAGAGAGTATAATAAAACCTGAAGGATTTTGTACAGCTGCTTAACCAACTCCTATCACTGTGACTCTCGGGCACAGTAATAAACAGCAGAATCTTCAGTCTTCAGGCTGTTCATCTGCAGATACAGCTGCTCTCTGCTGTTGTCTCTGGAGACAGTAAACCGGCCTTGTACTGACTGAGAGTAGTATTTGCTACTACCACCTGTATCAGTTGCAATCCACTCCAGTCCTTTTCCAGGAGCCTGTCTGATCCAGTTCATCCAGTAGCTGCTGAATGTGAATCCAGAGGCTGTACAGGTCAGTCTGTGAGAGTCTCCAGGCCTTTTAATCACTGGTTCAGATTCTCTCAGAGTCTGACAATCAACACCTGTCAAGACATTAGAAAAAAATCTAATGACTTATTCTTCAAAATTTCATGTCAATGTCAATTTAACCTCAAAGAAAAAAACTTGCCTGCGCAGTAAACAGCTAAAAGCAGCAGTCCTGCCTTGAAATCCATCATAGTGGTATAGAAGTGCACAAAGGTGTCTGTTGTTCTCTCCAAAGAGGGTTAAGTAGTAGTGGAAGATGCTTTGCATTGACTCCACCTCACAGGAAAGTGATAACTGACTGTTTTCACAATTTTTCAAATGCTAGCAAGTCTGTGTTATAAACACGCATTTTGCCTGAAGAATTAATCTCTCCTCCAAACCTCTGCATATTAAATAAAAATGATGACAATGTACTTTTTTAATAATGCATGTTTGCCATAACAATTACCAATTTTTACACAGATTTGATATTATTTTTGCTCCCTCTCATAGCATTCATGCTACAGTCTTCACTATACCAGAGTACTCATTCACCAATAACAATAACAAGCAAATTAATATTATAGTGTCTTTGAAAACATAGTTTAAGTTCAATTTTAGATTTGTCTCAGCTTTGGATCAGCCAGAAAGCCCTAAAGCATAGAAGTACTAAAGATCATATTATGATTAACAATTTTAGTTTGATGCCAGACCCAGATTTAAAAATGATGAAAAATGTACAGAAAGTTCTTTGTATACATTTCATTCATCACTATATTCATACACACCATTATACAGTGGTGTGTAAAAGAACAGTTTGCCTCTATCTGATTACCTATTTTTTGCATGTTTTTCACACTAAAACAAATTTCAATATTAGACAGAGATAGCACAAGTAAACACAAAATGCAGTTTCTATATAAATATGCTTATGAAGGTGTTATAATGTAAATTACCTTTGGTTTATCACATGTTTGGAAAGTGTTTAATTTCTCTAGCCACACACAGGCCTGATTAGTGCCACACCTGTTCACCTGAAATCACTTAAAAAGGCCCTCCCTGACAAAGTGGACTAGACCAAAAGTTCCTCAAAGGCCAGTTCATGCCGCGATCCAAGGAAATTCAGGAACAATGAAAAACAACAAACAAGTAATTAAGAGCTCTCAGTCTGGAGAAGGTTATAGGGTTATAAAGCCATTTCTAAAGCTGTGGCACTCAAACCAACCACAGTGAGATCCATTATCCACAAATGGTTATTGTGGTTATTTTAACATATTTCATAGAAATATGTTAAAATAATCTGAATAAAAAGTAGCAAAGTGCATAAAAAGCAAACATTGTACCACTGCCAACCTAAGCAACTATTTGATAACAGGTTTGTCACATTATCTTAAAATGTGCATATATGAAAAGTGACAAGGTTGTTTGTAAGAGGGGTGAACAGTAACTGATCCTGTTGCATATGTATTTCTGGGAGTTCCTATCACATAATGCAAAATGCAGGGATGAGAAAGAATCAGGTGCCCAAACTGATTTACTAACATTTGTGACATGCAATTTACTGAAAATTGTCCTGGCATTAGTTTTTTGCACTTAATGTTGTGGCAGTCGTTGCATTGCTGAGAAGTCTTTACAGAGATTTAAGAGCATAATGTTTAGCCACACATTCTCCTTAAAATGCTGGCTGTGTGAGTGCTGTCTGAAAAACAATGTGGGCTTTGTAGATAATTGGGAATCTTTCTGCGGAAGACCTAAAGAGCTGGCGAGCTTTTATTTCTAGAAATCTGAGCAAATGTATAACACCCCCCCCCCCAAAAAAAAATAAAATAAAATGTGACTACTCAGAGTTGGCACCAGCAAGCAGAGGTACTGTCTCCTATGTGACTCTGCAGCTTCCTTCATCCTGCCATTCCCTGAAAACCTCATCCCCACAAAAAACAACATTCAGCAAAAAACAATTTAAGCACAAAAAAGACAAGGAAGAAAGTTATAGCTTTCTAACAGTACTAAAAATCAAAACAAATGGATTATTCTTCCTCTCAACAGGAAGGGGCAGCCACCTGCTGTGACCCACTGGTACTTTTCCTACAGACTGTCTTATCCAAGCTGTACAGTTGCCAAAAGAATAAATGGCTTGTTTGCATTCACCTGAAGTTTTCTTATAAGTAGTTTTTATAGTTGAGTAGCAAGAAAGTTACCAACTATGTTATCTGATAAACTTGCCAGGAGACCAACTTTGCCTCGCATTCCTTTAATTGTATTACTCAGTCATGCTTTAAATTGACACTGTGATTAAAATTAGTTGCAACAAAGGAACTAATTGTCCTCTTGTCTCTCCTCTTGTTGTTATACATACAGTTTATCCAGAGAGGATTCACTTTGTCATAGAATTTTGAGGTGAAAAATTAATTTAGTCCATTTTGGAATAAAGCTACAATGTTACAAAATGACAAAACAAGTGAAGCACTATGAATACTTTTTAGATACAGTATGTATTTAAGGACTTTGGGGTTTTTGTTCAGGTCTGCAGCTGGTTTGTGTTATTGCGGTTTCCTGGCACAGTAATACACAGCAGTGTCTTCAGGCTGCAGATTCTGTCCATTTAGAGTCACTGTCTTGCTGGAAGAGTCTAAGCTGATACTGAACTTGTTCTTTAGTGAATCTTTGTAGAATGTGCTATGTCCAACACCTGATCCTCCAATCCACTCCAGTCCTTTCCCTGCAGGCTGTCTGATCCAAGCTGTCCAGTAAGTGCTTATAGAATAAGTGACCTGACAACTGATAGTCAGACGTTGACCTGGCTGCAAAGTCACAGGGCCTGACTGTGTCAGCTGTTCACACTTTACACCTGTAAAGAGAGAAGTATATTTCAAATTGTGCAGTTACAGATAAATTGGTTACTATGACAAATGCAAACCATGTATGATAAATGCAGAGAAACCTACATGATCCAACTGCTAACAGTAGCAGAGCTACAGGCAACATTGTTTATGGTGAGATTTCTGGTATCTCCAGCCAAAAAATATGAGGAGGTTTTTATGGCTGAGTTTGCATGGAATAAACCACACGAAGCACTATGTAGCCAACAGAAGGGTGACTGTTCTATATAAAAAAACTTTTCATGATAACTTTGCCTAATATTTGTTTAATTGTATCCACACTTTCACAGCCCCCCACAATGAAAGTGAATTTTAAACTACATTTTCCTAACTTTTTTTGCTCAAAGTTGTTCCATGAGCACAGATGGACCTGCACCTGTCTTTTTGTATTTTCAGAGCAAAGATTTGCAGGTTAAAAACTGTGACTGATATATTTATTTGTTTGCCACGAACCATGAACAAAAACATCTTCTGAAATAGGAGATGGGTAATACAACATTTAGCTCCTAGCTAATTTCCATCTGCAGTCTCCTGTCAAACAACAAATAAAATATTAAAAAAACTCACATTGTCATGGAATTTTATATATATATATATATATATATATTTAATACAACTGACAATTCATGTAGTGTTATACTTTCAGTGTATCCTTTAGAAAAACTTTCAGAAGTATTTTTTTCCAGTAGAATTCTACAAATTTAAAGCAAATAAAAAGCTCAGCAACTTCTCATTATGTAGCTGTTGAGATGCCAGGTAATGTACCTGAAAAGTTATACATTTCCTAAAGTTGTGTCAATAAATAATGTAACCAACTGTTTATTAAGAGGTTTGCCACGCCACCTTAAAATGTGACTATAAATATGGCTTTATGTGTTTCAAATCTTTCTTTTGTTGCCCCCAATACTGTTTTTATTATTTATTACTGACATCTACCTACAGAATTCCCTTTTAAACATTCAGAAATTTACTGGTGTAAAAAAGTATTGTGACCCACTGAAACACAAAGTCAGAAACAACAACAACAACAACAATCCTTTTATAGTGTGTACATGTTTACATGTATTTCAGGCCTTCAAATCAGTTCATGTTCAATTTTCTGCCACCTTTAGGTGGTTGTAAAATATTTTCATTGAGTCTTTATGCTAAGTTATACAAAGTTTCAAATGGAATTATTTCTGAAAAAACACTTTTCACTGAAATGTCACAAGAGACAAAAAAAATGTACAATATTTAATACTGACAATATATTTGAGTGTGTCTGGAGATTTTGTTCAGCTTCTCATAAACCTGATTTCCCAACAATTTGAATTGTATTGAATAAGATGGCACATTAAAGCTAAATTGATTTAAAATAAATCTTTACAACAAGTTGGACCAAAGCATTTTTACTCATTTTATTTGTTCCTTCAAATTTTAAGCTGTTGTCCAGTCATTTGTGGTCTGAGGGCTCCTCCTCTGGCAGCTTCATGTAAGTGATCAGGCTCTGAGGGGTTTTTGTTCAGGTCCACTGCTGGCTTGTGTTATTGTGCATCTCTGGCACAGTAATACATGGCAGTGTCGTCAGGCTGCATATTCTGTCCAATTAGCGTCACTGCTTTGCTTGAAGTGTCCAAATCAATACTGAACTTGTTCTATTAGTGAATCTTTGTAAGCTGCTTCTCCAGTATATCTGGCACCAATCCACTCCAGTCCTTTCCCTGCAGGTTGCCTGATCCAGCCTGTCCAGTAGCTGCTAAGAGAATAAGAGACCTGACAGGTGATGGTCAGACATTGGCCTGGCTGCACAGTTTCAGACCCTGGCTGTGTCAACTGCTCACACTTTACACCTGTAAATAGAAAAGAGTTTTTTAACAGATGATCGAGTAAAGCTGTTAAAAATAAACTTGTGAGTATGGCAAATCCAGAGAGACTCATGTGATCCAGCTGCCAACAACAGCAGCAGAGCTACAGAAAACATGGTTTATGTTGAGGGTGATGTTCTGCTATCGTCACCCCAAAGTGTGAGTTTTTATTGCTGAGTAGAAAGGAAACTCACCGAGTTTGCATAGAATCAAACACATTAGGCAGGAGTACCAGCTATAACTGTTAGTAGATACGTAGTAATAGTGTCAGATAAACTCGCAAGGAGATCAAATTTACCTTACATTTATTTGAATTTATTACTTTTACTTACTCTACTTACATTTTGCCCCTGAAAAGAAATTGAACGTCGAATGACTTTTTTCTCATAACACATCCCTGTTCCACAGATTTTTTTAGTCATTAGTCATTCCTCACGTACAGAAATACACCGTGTATTTACATTTTAAATTATATAATTAAATTGTTGATGTATTTAAAATATTTCTCCTGTACTTATGTTTTTCTGCACATTAATGTAATTACTTCATCTTTCAGTGTTTGCAGAATGGGATCCACAGTAAAATCAGGCAATTGATGCAATTTTTATTGTTTGAATCTACTATTGTTTCACTCATTTTCATCAATAACTGTAATATTTTAGTAGGTTAATTATGGTTCCCATGGGTGAAGCTTGTACAAGGCAGTTGGGGCAGCTTTAGTGGTCCTCTGAGTAGGATGCAGGGCAGCACCAGTGTGAATCTTTGCACAAACAGCTAGCATAGTCCTGCCACATTGTGCTTCATTTCATTTCATTTCCATGTGAGAAAAAGTGTTGAAGACATGTTAACATAGCAACACAGATATTTAACAAATATGTTATAGTCACGTAAATACAGTATCAATGTGTAAATCCAATTTTTATGCTAATGACACGTTAGTTAAATAATAAATATGATTATTTTGTGTCAAACACTGCCTCACCTACAGTAGCTACTTGTAATATAGACATATAGATGCTTTACTTGTTATAATGTGCAGAATATTGTTAATGTGAGTATCAATATAGTGTTAGCAGGCATTTAATGTTTGACATAAGTTCTGTAGTACTGTGAAAGTTTATGACATTGGTGATCATTGTCAAAGGTGTGGTCTTTGTGTCAGTGTTTATCTGAATAGGTGCATGTCTCCCTGACATGTTCTGCTTTGCATACACTCCTCCTCTCCTCTTCATCAGTGAAACACATTTTTGATTCACTCACACAAGTACTGTCATACTAACCTATTTATATACAATGATTAGTTGTTTACTGTACTAAAGCAATAAACATGCTGCATATCATCATCTGAACAGAGCTCAGGTAGCAACAATAGCAATGGTGAACAGACTGGAAAACTTGAAAGGGACTTGACAGAACGCTGAAAAGAGAAAAAAAAACACACAAATAAATAAATGATAATGTTTCATCATAAGTGAATGTTCAAACAAATACCTGTTCTAGAAATTCTTGGTCTTGTCATAGCATGTGTCTAATGTACAATATAATATATATTTACAGATGCTATATAAAATCAGTTTTGAATAAAATAAATCTCCTTTACTGTTGCAAGTAAAACAACTTTATAGTTTTAAGAAAAGGAAGTCAGAAACCACAGCAGCTGCACTCGTGTTCATTTTGACATATTTACATGTGTGCCATATTTTCCTTTGTTTCCAGTTTACATGTTTTTGTCACGGTTTGCCAGGGCAAGCCGTGGGGAATGTTGGAGAAAGGACCCAAACGCTGGACTTAGTGCAATGAACAGTGCATTTATTTACAGTGGGGGTAAATATACACCACACAATAAGTCTCCCGAGTGCTCCCTCAACTCCTGTGTCGTGCCTTCTCCCAAGTGCTGGTATTCCGTGC